TAGGCCTGAAAAACAAAACCTGAATATCTCATGTTAGCTAAAGTCCAAATCCACACTGTTGTGATCACCAAACAGTTTAATTCTCACCTAGATACACATTAGTGTTTAAAATATGCCTAAATTCGTGCCAAATTTTCTATATAATCTGAACACATTGATCATCAACATTTACTTCATATATTTAACTTGTTCCTGGAGGAACCTGAAAAGGAAGGTAGACCTGATGTCGTGACCGCAGAGTCCAAGTGACAACTGCTTGATGCCGGTCACACAGCTTTTTTATGAAAGTTTTTTAGAGTATTAGCTTCGTTCGGATTTAAAAGCTCTTACCACCAAAGCCGAAAATCCGTGACATTTTTAGGGTCAACCTTTTCTAACCCTTCCTTGTGAGAAGGCAGCATCACTGCAGATGCTGGTTGTCCGAGGGAAACACCTTACTGCTTTCACGCCCCTCTGCAGTCAGCAGTACGATTTCGCCCTCAGACCTTGAGTAGCTGCTTTTAGTTTCATCGTTCTCCAATCGACATGCCCTGGCATGGTAGAACCTTCAAAAACATAAGTTCCAGCCAATATAGCTTGGTTGGGTCATCACGATAGGCAAGCCTAACCACCACGTCAAGGTAGCAGCTTCGGTCGGGATGATACCAGTGGTCAGTTGTCCAAATTATGAATTGGAAATATTCTGCTTTTCTATATCTCGCGGCTTCATTAGTAATATACTGTTTGTTGTAGTTCATAGCTTAACATACCTCAGGACTTCTTACAAAAGTATGTGCATTCTATTTCAGTTTGGTTGGACTCATGAAGGTGGCTGGCTATCAATCCTGGCATCAACTTTTGTCAGGTAAGTTGTGTATATTATTCAATCATTGACGTTTATTTCCACTGTCGATAACGTAATTTTACTCACTAGTTACAAAGAAACCAACTATAGAATATTTATAGCGACAAGTATAGATTTGTCTCCCTTATTTTATCCCCGTTTCTCTTCTGTATTGAGTTTTACTATTTATTTGTATCTAGTAAACAGTTTTATCCTTAAGAATTTCCAGGTCTGTAATGCGACTCCAGTTGTGATATGCTAAAGTGTCTACATAAACTAATAGCGTCTATCATGTGATTTGCACAATTGTAATGGTTGTTCCCCGCTTTGTATGTTTCCTGCATTTTTTTTTGAACACAAGTTCCATATATGTTTGCTCTTAGTTCCTGCTCAGCTGTCGATAAGTTGTTGCTAACATTCAACAGCTGTCAACTGTCATTTACGCTAACGTATGTTGAAGGAAACTGGTGGGCGGCCTATGCGCCATTGGGGGTAATAGGCGTAAGCAGTAAGCATCAGCACGTTGTGATTATTCCCTATTTAGTTATAAGAAGCCCTTTTATTTACAGGCATCCAGATGCGTAAATCGTCTTAGACACCTCCTGAGTTGATGCTTATACCTAATTAATGGTTATTAATAAAAACCGTTCTTTAGACAAATCGTTGCCTTTGTTGAACTTTATATTTATCCTGTCGTTAAACGCTTCGGTAGATTTAACGTATCGCTTATGTTCGTTACAATTTTTTGTATATTTATGAGCTATCGTTGGTAAGAATTGCCAGATAGTGTAGGTATGTTTGCAACATTGTGCATGCAATTATCTGGTAGCGTTTTGTTTTTCTCTTCGATTTCTTATTAACTGGTTCTGCATCTTAAATGGTGATCTAGTGACAAATCATACAACCAAAGAAATCATTTCGAATTCGAAAGTGTTAAGGTTACTCAAAGTCTGTCAATGGTGCAAACCTATTCCTTATTTATTCATTGAATCTGCAACTTATCACTGTATAATTTACTAATTTTCCTTGTGCAACTTACTAAGATCGAATTCCCTCTACTTATATTGATTTTTCCGTATACACTCATTTTCAGGTTCCTTTACTTGATGGCATCTTTGTACAAGATTTTCTGAGCGATTCAATAATAAATTTGTCACTTTAATTGTAGTTCTCTATGCCAAGATGTTTTTCCTTTTCTTTTCAACAATGCCTAGCTTAGCTGCTTAATATTTACATGAGCAGTTGTGTTTTTGACTGACAACCTATATAACATCAGAAATAATATCCTCAATTATATAAAGTAATATCTCTGTGAATAAAGGCCTAAATTTTAACTCGTCACATTTTGCGAATTAATTTTTATTAAAGTCAAACATCAAATTTACGTCATTTAAATATTCGTCTACAAAACTATAAATCAAAAATAATTGGTAATCGTTAATACCGGGAGTTAATTGAAACGTTCAACTCAGTCGTCATCACTATAAATCCCAGTGGATAAAGAATAAAAGTGTAAAAAACTTTATTACTAATTATCAGTTTATTCCTAAGAATCCTATTGATTTAAACATGTAAAATATGTATGTCATTGTAGACCCTCCGGGGCCACTGCCAGTCCCAAGCCCGGATAAAGAAGGAGGGTTAGGCATGGGGTTGGTGACCCCATCCCGTAGAAAATTAACTCACTAAAAAACGCTAACAAGAAAAAATAATACAAACTATTTAAACTCTGCTCTGGGAATTAGGTCTTCATTTAGAAGAGTTATAACGTCTCATGAGAAAAGCCTAGTTCCTTTGGAAGTCACGAGGTCGATACCCCTTCTGACAACCAAAGCCCTTCCACGGTGTTGGCAGCCGGGAAGTAACATCCGCCCTCATGCCCATAAAAGCACGAGACCAAATCGGTCACAATCAAATCCTTTCTACACCTCTTAATAACTCTCTTATTTCCTCAACTAACCCTCCTTTCGATCATTTATCACCGCGCGCCACTGAAGCAAACGGTATGAGCTCACGAAACATGATTCTTGGTCTCTTCAAACCCGGTACTAAATTACATATAAGAGCTCTTAATGTTTGAAGCCTATGCCAACTAGGGCAACAGGCTTCATTAGCTAGAACTCTGGAATCCCGGGCGATCGATGTATGTTGCGTCTGCGAAACGCGCGTTTAAGATCCGAGTAAAATCCTCAATTTTATTTCACTTAGTGCAGATAGAGACACAGTGCGATTTACGCTTCGTGTTTCTGGTAGCCCTGATGCTGCTTCCCGTGACCTCGCCGGCGTAGGTAGGTATAAAGTTAGATCATAGGGCAGAACTAGCTCTCCTAGACTGGATCCTATTAGATAGTCGCTTGTGCATTGTGACTAAACGGGACGGTACGGACTCGTAAGGATAGGGACACTCGCCGTCGCCTCTTTGTCGTGTCTGCTGCCTACGTTCCCATTGACTGCAGTTCAGACGAGGTGAAAAATGAGTTTTACAGAAACCTCTCTAACCTCCAAAATGTTAAGCACTCTGATACAGTAATAATTGCTGGTGACTTTAATGCTCAAGTAGGTAAACTCAGCGAAAAGGAAAGACACCTTGGTGGATCTTATGGTGTCGTGGCTAATAGAACAGATAATGGCGACCGTCTGTTGCAACTATGCTCAGATAACCGCCTATTCCTAGCAAACACTACTTTTAAGCATCAGGTACAACACCTTTTGACCTGGCGACCCCCAATCGATCTAAGTCCTCCGAGTCTTAATGAAGTTGAGAAAGCTATAGTAAATCTAAACCGAGGGAGAGCAGCAGGTCCTGATATATTGACCCCTGAGATTTTCGAGGATGGTGGTCCAGTTTTAGCAGCTACATTGACCGAGACCAAACTCAAGAAAACCAGGCTAGTTTCAGTCATGAACCTGGCTGTTTAGGCCACATACTCACATCACGACAGGTCTTGGAACCCAGACACACATTTAGGCGTCCCGACAATCTCGGGGGTCTCATCAGTGCTGATGGCCTGTGACTGACGAAATCTCAGCACGGATACAGAAACCTCGATCGGCTTTCGCAAACTTGCGTCATTTATGGTGTAGGCGAGATATCCGTTTGCCAACCAACGGACTAGTGTATTATGCAACAGTTCGCTCTGTTCTACTTTATGGCTGCGAAACATGGTCAGTCAGAGTAGAAGATATTCGTAGGTTGCTTGTCTTCAATCATAGGTGTGTTCGAAGCATTGCTCGTGTATCGTGGGACAACCGAGTAAGCAATGCTGTTGTTAGGAAACAGGTGCTAGGTAAGGATGACAGGTCAATAGATGAAGTATTGAAACTTTATCAGTTGAGGTGGTTGTGACATGTGTTGCGTTTGCCTAACCATCGACAACCTCACTGAGCTGTAGTTTGCGGTGTAGGAGTAGTTTGGACGAAAGCTAGGGGCGGTCAGACGAAAACATGGCAGAAATCCATGAAGTCACTGACAAGTGGACTGAGTCATGTTTGTAGATGTAGGCTACCTGGTTGGGGTCCGCGAGGTGATCATGATCAATGTTTAGAAACTCCGAGTGACATGTCTCAAAACCGTTTGCAACGGCGCAGGTGCATTCACTCTTTTTGTCCTGTGTAATTTTAACCCTCTGAATTCCTCATCACTTCTATCTTTCTCTCTCCCTAATCAATTTCACTGAAGTATACTCTTGTATAACATCTTCGAACCCTAGTCTCTCCGATTATTTCTAATAATTTTAATACCTCTACCACCATGGGATTTGAATTGATAGTTCTATCTCTGTTATTGAGGTATGGCAACTTGAACTGCTGTACTAACGTGCACAGTTCTACGCTGCTCCTGGTGATGATGTCGCTTAATTTATTCACCACATATCTTTAACTTATTCTTGTAAAGCCATAGTAGCTAACCACACCTTATCAAATGGAGTTGGGTTACCTGTCTTCGCTTTTTATCTTAATGTCTATCTGCGTAAACAAGTGAATGAAATAAATTCATTTCGTTCGGACCCTATATGGCGTTTTATTACCATTATCGCTCAAATGGGGTTAACCTAGGTGCAATGTACGAAATTTAACGAAAGATCTATTTTGAAGGTATATTTAATCGTCCTTCTAAAAATCGGAGTCATATAACGGATGGTTTGTGTATCGTCGCTCAATAAGGTAATATCATCTGCATATTTAATATCAAAAATTCCTTACCTGGGTAACAAATTCACACCGCCATTACATACATCCATGAGAGCTGTTTCCAGAGCGTCATCGATGGCAAAGTTTCAAAGCAGTTACGAGACTAAGCAATCCTGCTCAACCCCACCGCTTGAATGAAACCATAGGGTGTAACAGTTGTAAGCCCTCACTATGTCTGAGGTATTTATATGTATTGCTTTGGAGGTGTTGGTTAACTTCTCGGGCACCTTTATTCAACAGTCACCCAAAAAGAACAGTCTTACGAACGAATCAAACTGGACTCTAATATCAAGAAACAACGACTGGTGGTGGTATTCTAATATTTGTGGGGGGATGAAGATATGACCAATAATTTCTTGACTAAAACTTAAACCAGCCTTCAAAAATCCCTTCTTATTACACAAAATAGTGGTTATATGGACTAGTTTTGATAAAGAACTGATTGTCAGGAAGTAAGTCAGTAACACCTAAGTGATACCAGCAGTTCTTAACAAAATTTGTTATTGATTTTAGGAGGATAGACATTGTTGGAAGAGGTTACTCTGGTTACAACACTCGTATGTTCAGACCTTTACTTCCAATACTCTATCCGAACAAGGATTCATTAAAGGATTGTATATTTTTCATTATTTTTCTTGGAGCTAATGATTCATGTGTCACTCCACGACAACATGTACCAGTTGAAGAATACAAAAGTAATCTAAGTTGGATGATTAAATATCTTCATGTATGTTTTATGAGGTATAGTGAAGGATTCTAAAAGTAATTCCTTTCAGCTTTTTTAAGATTTATATAAAATTTATGAAGTAAACTTTTAAAAATGAGTTTTTTGGAATGTTAATCTAATGGGTGAGAGGCTAATCAACAGATTGTAAGTTAAGAGACAGTTTGGCCAAATGATAGCTGCTTGCGAGACTGTTAACGTAAGACCTCAAATGATCCGGAATCAAATTCAACCACTAGCCAAAAGAATAAATTGTCGTACCAAAACGCTTATATGCATAAAACAGCATGATAACATGTAATAAGAGATTGGGGAAGTTAGCTTATAGGTCACTCACTCTCCAATCAACATGCTTGGTGAACAGATTATGAATAACATTTCCACCTGCAGAGAATAAACATGAGTCATATCGACTGATAAATGATGCACAAGTTGCAAACGAGAATAAAGAGATTTCACCTGATCGAAATTTTTTTCATGAGAAACTTCTATAACCCATAGAGGTGAGAAAATATATCATTTTTCTCATGACTTCTTTTGATTAGATCTTCCATTCTTACCCCTTAAACCCTCCCCCCTTAATACATCATAGAAAAGTAACAGTTCTCATTTTATTGACTGTGTAATACTGTGGATTGACAGACAAAAAACATTAAGGTCGATGCTTTTCAGCGAAACCTACCAGTGTAACAGACGAGCCCACATCATTAGATGATAAAACGTTTCGTAACATGAAGAACTAAGACTCTTCATTTGATTTCAACCTAGCCCCTAACTTAACACAAAACCGGGAATAGTGTGCCAACTTCGAGAAGGGAGTAATGTTCTCCATCCTGAACGTCTTTAAAACAGCATATGAATAATTGTTTTGTCAAATGTATTGCTTGTCATTAGCCTTTTTATGATCTGTCTCTTCATTATTTTTCTCCGACAACAGGAATTAGGTGTACCTATGGACCATATTTCACTAATCAGTTTACCTCCTATTGATGAGAACAAATGGGGTGCTACTGAGATAGCTAAAGGTAATTCTATTACTAATATTATATATATATATATACTTGTGAACGTTAAAACTAAAACCACTTCGTAAAATTGTCATTAAAGTAGCAACAATGCATTTTATTTGCTAAGAAATCTTTAACTGGATTGTATCAATACTTTTATTTGACATCATTTTCAATCGAATTCTGGTAAAAATTTACCTTAAGAATAGTATATATAAAGAATTTATACTTCTATTTTTTTTAGGAAATGCAATTACACGAAGACTAGTTACTTGTGCTACATATGCAGCTGCGTGTCAAGAGGTTGCCAACATCAATAACGTTACTTTCGTTAATTTGTATGAAGCAATGTTGATGCAAAAAGTAAGTTTCTCTTCTAATGAACTCGGTATTTTCAAAAACGAAAAATATCTCTGCGTATTTCTGTGTCCAAAAGTCCTGAAACAAATGGTTTCCTACAAACTAGTTGTATTGATCACTCCAAAATATGTTTCTGTTTAATCGTGTATCACTAGATTGAAACTTTACTGTGAGAACGTTCTGAATATTAGACAACTAGACTACTCATGTTTAATAATCTAAGGTGACTGGTTTATTTTTGTCAGCTCATTCTATTGCTGTCTGGTCTTTCATGCAAAAAAAGCAAACATGAGCAAACTGGATTGAGCATCTAGGTGATGTTTCTGTGAAGAAAAATCAAGATTCACTAAGGAAAGTACTCGTTAGTCAATGTAATCATTCACTTTAGTTGTATTTTTCATTATTAGGATGGTTTTTAGTTCGCTAGTTGTCTACTTTAGTAGATACACGCTCAGCCAAAACAGAAGACAGTCAGTAAAGTCACTTAAAAATTTAGATGGTAACAAGTTCCCGATTCGTTAAGTGTTATAAAACATTAATCGTAACTTTTATTTCTAGGCTACTGGTCTTTACATAACTGTTCTGAAGTAGGAACTTTTTCTAGATGTCAAAATGTATTTAATTCCGGTTACTCACACAATATATCTATTCTGAAATATCATTTTCATAATGTTAGTTGTAAATCAAGCTTCTCGAGAATTAGATGGACTTTTCTCCTTTTCAGAATTGGGAATCTTTTCTTTCAGACGGTTTGCACTTTTCTAGAAAAGGATCTGAGTTTTTAGCGAGGATTTTAGAAAACATACTCACGGACAAATTAGGTGATTTAAAGTGGTGGTTTCCAGACTGGAAAGTTATAGACCCAGACGACCCAGCGACATCTATCAGTCACTATCATCAGTCCCAAACTTGATGTTTTCCTCAGTTATTTCACTGAATATACTTTTTTCAGATACATTGTAACTGTTTCAGTTGTGTTTATTTGTTAGTTCGTACTCAAAGAGTTAAAATTAATTTAAAATACAGGTATATGTGAACTTGGTTGTTCTATTACAATTACGGCTATCGTTACTACCCTACTACTCTAAAATTTACCCTGACGATTTCCTGTCTCTGTTGATGGGATGCGGCAACTTCAACGAGCGTACACATCCCACGTTCTATGTTGCGTATGGTTAGCGGACATACCCCACATATCTCTAACCACCGCCTGTTGACGTGCCATGTTGGCTGTGGTAGGAATGTTGGTGTATTGTAAACTACGCCTAGTATTTAAGGACTCAGTTATATTGCCAATCGGAACCTAACACATGTAAATCGATTTGAGCTGCACACCGTAGCGAGATTCTAGAATAGTAGAAGTGGTAAGCGTATCAGTGTTAATAGTAAAGATGATATTATTTGAAAATATATGAATCCATAAAATACAAAAGTATAAAATTGTTGTGAAATTCGGAGCCTAAGAGAAGACAATAAACATACTTGGAATTGCTGTCGATTATGAACCATACCACTCAACATATCTTATCACTAATCCTACGCACTCAAACCAGGTAGTCTGCACCTACCAACATGGCTTAGATTGTGAACTGTAAAGTCTTAGACTTTTCAAACTTTAGCGTACTCCTACACCCAAAATATCGACTAGACATATGTAACACATGTTCAATTGTTTCTACAGAGTGTAACTTGCGAAAAAGTCAATGATAGATGAAATATATATACGTTTGGAGAAGAGAGTTTGTTTAATGTGTAAACATAGTCCTCAATCACTCATCTGCAGTCCAAGCAGGTTATTGACCGTCTTCTCTCGCTTCTCTTCTAGTCTTTAAAATACTATGGTCGTTCTGTGCACTTCCATATCGAAACACTCCACTCTCGTAGCAACTTCTAGGCGACGATCCGCTTCATACTACCTAAAAGCTATTTTGTGAATAGTATTCTGCATTTAACCTCAGTATCGCTTACTTAGTGGACCTGAAATTCGCAAGCAATGCTTCAGAGACACCTACAATTGAATACTAGTGACCTACAAACATTTTTTATTTCTAATGACCACGAGAAAGGTTTGCGACCCTTTCGCAATAACCATAGAGGAATGAGTCTAACATAGTTGGTAAAATGCCATCCTTAATAATTTGGCGCTTTTTGAGAACAAAACACCGGAAGAAATCATACTTGGGTGTACTTCGACTAAATGTTCACTTCGTCAGATTTTAGGAACGAAACCTGACCGTTATTGGCCTAGACGAGAGGCTTACTTGCCGACCAATGTACGAGTCTACGGGTGCGGTAGATTGTTCTGTCCTACTTTGTAGACGTAACTCCGCCCACAGTCCCTCCAGGACAACACACAATCCCAAGCCAAAACAGGGTTGGGCTTGATGTTAGCTACCCCATCCCGTCGAAAACTAACTCGCTAAAAAACGCCAACCAGAAAACATAATTCAAGCCAATTAAACTCTGCCCTAGGAGTTTGAATGTCTTCTTTCAGAAGAGCTATGACATCTCATAATAAAAGCCGAGGCCAATGCCCCTTCTGACAACCAGATCAACCATTCTTTTAGGTAAATGGAATGTTCGAACAATGTAGGAGACCGAAAGACTTAAGAATTGCTGCAGAGATGAAAAAATAAAACCTAGAGGTGTTTGGAATCTGTGAAACGCATTGGACACAGGTAGGACAAGGGAGACTAACTTCAAGAGAGCTGATATCATAGTCCGGTCATGAGGAATAAAATGCCCTACACAAACAAGTAGTTGCACTGATGCTGTCCAAAGAAGCACAAAAGGCACTGATAGGATGGGAATCTCATGGGCCCACGATCATCAAAGCATCCTTCAGCACAAGTAGGGATGGGATTGCTATGAACGCCATCCGATGCTATGTACCTACCAATGACTACAATGGAGACGTTAGAGACCAATTCTACGAAAGGCTGCAGTCAATAGTCGACAGATGCTCACCAAAGGGTTTGACGGTTCTGATCGGAGACCTAAACGCCAAAGGTGGCATGGAAAGAGCTGGATATGAATATATCATGGGACGACATGGACTGGGAGAAAAGAAACCAAAACGGTGAGCGATTTGCCAACCTGGGTGCCTTCAACAAACTGGTCATCGGAGGCACAATGTTCCCACACAAACGCATACACAAAGCTACATGGATTTCACCGGATCGCAATACTCAGAACCAAATCGGAACGACCAGGAAGGACGTGAGAATCAAGAGAGAAACTGACATAGCCTTAGATCACCAGATGCTGGTCGCCAAAACGAAACTGGAACTCAAGGAACACTGGAAAATGGGGCAGACAACATTACGGATCATTGTGGAACGATCAACTGAATGGAACTCACCACTTTACATTAATTTCATTGACTACGAGAAAGCATTCGACAGCGTGGACAGGACAACACTATGGAGGCTTCTTCGACACTACGGCGTGCCTGAGAAGATGGTCAACATCATACGGAATCCTTATGATGTATTAAACCGCCAGATCGTGCACGGAGGACAGCTGACAGACTCTTTCGAGGTGAAGACCGGTGTCAGTCAACGTTGCTTACTCTCTCCCTCTCTCTTTCGCTTGGTGATAGAATGGATTATGAAGACATCAACATCTGGAGGGGAGCATGGTATCCAACGGACAGCTGGACGATCTGAACTTCGCAGATGATCCGGCTCTTCTATCACACACGCGACAACAAATGCATTAGAAGATGATCAGTGTAGCAGCAGGTCTCAACATACACACACAATGGGAAAAGCAAGATTTTGCGATGCAACACAATATGCGCCAACTAAATCACTCTTGATGGAGATGTCTCGGAGGACGTTAACACCTTTAAATATCTGGGCGGCATCATCAACAACCGAGGTGGATCCAATGCAGATGTGAGGGCGCAGATCGGCAAAGCAAGGGCTGCATTTCTACAATTGAAAAATATCTGGAACTCAAATCAACTATCAACCAACACCAAATTCATAATTTCAATATACATGTCAAAACGCTTCTACTGTATGGAGCGGAAACTTGGAGAACTGCGAAAGTCATCATACAGAAGATAAAAGTATTTACGAACAGTTGTCTTCGCAAATACTTCGGATTCGTTGACCGGACACTAACCCTTTCTCCTGGTGATCGACTGGATTATGAAAACGTCAACATCAGGAGGGAAGCACAGTATATAGTGGACAGCCAGGATGAGGTTGGACTTTGTAGATGATCCGACTCTTTTATTGCACACACAACAACAAATGCAAGAGAAGACCAGTGTAACAGCAGCAACAGGTCTCAACATACGAAGTGAAAAGCAAGATCCTTTGATTAGAACACAGTATGTGCCAAACAAATCACTCTTGATAGAGAAATTTTAGAGGACGTAAAAATCTTTACATATCTAGGCAGCATCATTAACCAGGAAGGTAGATCTGATGCAGACTACCAAAACTAATATATACATTACGCAGCGTAGTTACTATGGGATGAGAAGAATTGAGTTCACTATCTAACTATGTGTTTTAAGAAATCAACCAGTAAGTTAAGTTCAAATTCTCCCTCACCTCAGGCTTAAAAACCATATTTCGGAGCTGATCCGACTAACCAGAAGCATACATCGTGAAATGGGGTAGGGTCAAACATACCAAGGGACTCAAGCAGCAGCAAAACATGTTAGTAGATACTAAAGAAGTTTATTCATTATTTAAAAAGGGACAAATTAGAAGATACGGAGGTCACATAGTATCTTACATAGATTTTTGCTGACCTTTTCAGCGAAGAACGAACGATAAGAGTTTGCAAACATTAAAAAATTGACGAAAATAATTTTAAACGGTATTTCTGGTTGATGAAAGCCAATGATTTATAGCATACAATGTTCCCAGTGTTACAGGACTTGGTTTATTACTGAATTCAGATTCGGTGCTAATTTGGGGTAAAATAGTCGGGTTCCGATTTGATGTCAGCCCACAGATAAGTTGATTCACAGGTACCGGTTGCCAGTCAAGAGAATTTACGCCCCAATACCTAACAACATAAAATCATCATGATTACTGCTTCAAGAATGGACATGTTTTATCGTTCCAATGAAATATTTTACAATTTAGGTCAGTAAAATATAGAGCATAATGAAAGACAGTGCTTATTTCAATATTGTTGAATCTCCAATCACTTTAAGAACTGGTTATGGTGACTAAAACCTATAATCTTTGTTATCGGAGTGCACTAATCTCAACCCGACAGTAACTGCTATCTTGATGGTGGTCGGGTTTTCCTGTCGTGATGACCCGACCGAACGATACTGACTCGAACGCATGCAAGTCAATTGGAGAACGGTAAAACCGAAAGCACCAACATAGGAACTTATGACTGAGTCATTCTACTGACTGTAAAGGAATGTGACAAGAATAAAGCGCTACCCTCATAAATCAACATCTGCCTCGAGGTTAGAAAGTGTCTACCCTAAATTCGCCACACCCACGATCTCCCATCTCCGTTGTGCGGGGCGGACACATCATAAACTTGTCATGAAGAGACTAGACATAAGCATTTGTCCCTTGGGTTCTGTGGCCACGCTTTTGGCCCACCATCACTAGCTTGTTTCCCCTTACAGGTCCCTCAAGATCTTTATAGGGCGCGGGCGAACTGTCATCGGATTCGAATAGTTAAAGTGGTGTCCATCAGGGCTTTCCATTGTAGTGCTCATGTAGTGTCCGTCAGGGCTGTCCTCTCTCTCCATTCTTGTTTAACTTTGTCGTAGATATGCTTCTAGTGTTAACATTATCATCGTCTGACTCTTCAGGAGTGGACATTTTACTAAGAGACACGCTTTCTGACTTAGAATATGCCAATGATATAGTTCTACTTGGTGAAGACGCTGATAAAATTCACTCTCCTGACTACCATAAGCAACAATGCAAGCATGTTCGGGATGCGATTCTCCCCTTCGAAATGCAAAATGTTGCTTCAAGGTTGGCTTGCGTCAATACCTAAACTAATGATAGGGAGTTAAAAGGTTGACCGCTTCGCTTAT